GACCTCGTCAAGTGCGTGACTCGCTGCCTACTCCTATCTCTCTTGCCCTCAATATTCCCCCGGAAGGGTTAAGGTTTTTAAACCCTCCTTCTTCATCATATTTCAGCTTTTTCCCGGTTCTGTGCATAAGTGTTCATTCTGTTGCCATTTCCTTTAAGACTTTCCAGTTACTTACTCGCTCCGTCAATGGAATTTTCCGTATCTTTCTGAAGAATCACCATTTCTTCTGCCTGCGTTTTTTTCTCTCTGAATATCTTAGTCGACATCGACGTTAAAATAGTTACTTATTTCACGCTGGAACCATTGATCAGGACTCAAGCTCGTGTAAAACCACGATTTTGAATGCTTGGAATCTTGTTGACCTCGTCTTTTTTTTTTTTTTGAATATACCTGCCAATCTTAGTAGGGTTCGAAAAATATCCCAGAAAGACCGTATTTTAGGTTCTAACTGCCAGCTGTTAAATGAGCCAGAGCTTTAACCAGATTGTGAAGCCCGTCGCTTGTTACTAACGAAAAGTGACTTTAAAAGAAATGATATTGTCCCTAGAAGTCATTCACTTTAATCGTCAATGCGACCAGTTTTAAAAACATAGGCGTTTATTAGTATTTGCCGTTTGCGTTCATACGGCCACTTGAATGTCTCACTTGAAAACAGCATCACGGCCGTCAGAAAATAAAAGATTTTCTTTTAGCCATGGCGACTTATCTTTGAAATTATCAAATACACACCCAAGTTTATGGACGCGCAAAAATAGGTGAGTATGTGTGAACTGACGTAGCAAAGGGGAGGGCAATTCGGGGGGGGGAGAGATAAGCGACCTTGAGCCAACTACTGTTGTTGACGAAAAAAATAAAGTGTAGTTCTCATTGAAAAAAATAAAACAGTTTATTCATAAAATTCTTCCATAAAAATGTGCGCAGTTTGATAGTCTTGTTTTCTCCTTATTTTAAAAAAATATATATTTACTAAACATAGTTTAGTCTGACACAAGGCTAAATGTCCTGGGGTATTAAAACGTTAAAAGTCTTTTACGGTGGACGAACATATTCACTTTGTAAGTCAGTATTTAATTATCACTTTTTCTTTCTTTCGCCAAGACTTAAACATCAACCACTGGCGCTCGTGAAAAATGAACAACTGATTCAATATTCTTCTTTTATGTGTCGTGTCCCTTCAGAACGTAGGCGTTCATGGACCTCCACATCTTTCTGTCCTTTGTAGCTCTTAATGAGTTTTGTCTTTTTGTTATTTCTCTCAAAATCTTTTCTACCATCTATTTACTCAAAGTCATCAACTACGTTTCGCGCTGCATTCATCTGACCTGCTTTTCCTCAATCTGTCCTGTAAGTATCAGATTTTCCAAGCCATCCCTCCTCATTACGTGTCCCAGAAATTTCAACTACATCTTCCTGATGTTACGTATAAGTTTCCTTTTTGTTTTCATTTTTTTTTCTAAAACTTTGTTGTTGCTAAAACTTTGTTTGGTCCATGGTATCCTCAGCGTCTTTCTGTAGAACGACATTTCTGTTGCTTCAAGTCTCTTCTTCATCTTTGAGGAGATAGTCCAGCATTCGATGCCATACAGGAGGATAGATATCACGATGATATCAAGATATATCGATGCCATACAGGAGGATAGATATCACGTAACAGTTCAGAAACCAAATCCTTCGACAACTGCCGATTTTTGCAGCAAAATGAGAAAAAATTAACTGCGTTTCTCCCAGAAAAATAAAAGATTGTTTTCAGGAAGTCCTTCTATAAAAATACGTAATTTTAGTTGCTTTTAAATTTAATTTTCTTTTGTTTATTTTATCTACGCATTTTTTGTTTGTTTGTTTGTATGTAGGTGTGTGTGTCTGTATGCGTGTATATATATATATATATATATATATATATATATATATATATATATAGAAAAAAAATTTCAAATTAAAAATTATAATGTTTTATTTTATGAAAGTATTTATTTATTTATATATATATTTGATATTTCAAATTGTCCTCAATTTTTCATCAGAAATAACTGTTTGTTACAAATAAATTAAAATTACTGTTTGTTGGCAAGTAGCGTCCTTCGAGAGACGCGGACGTCACGTGATATGGAACGTCACTGTTCAGATATTCCTAACTTAAATCTAACTGTCATAAATATTTTAAAAATATTTTTTTACTATATCTAAAGAAATTGCTTAGCTATTGAAATATTTATAAAGATTTAAAACACCTAAGTCCCTATTCAACCCTAATTTATGTGTATTTAATTTTAAAATCCAATATGTTTCTTTTTTTCTGCGTGTGAATGTGGAAGTAAAATCGGAATCTATTAATAAACATTTGCAGTTTTCTAATGTGTGTCCTGATTGATTGTAGTGTTTAGCTATGGGGAATAAGGGTTGTTTTGACGTATTGTTTGTTTATGGTTATTAAAACGAAATCTAAAATTGTTTCCAGACTCACCAATATATCCACTATTAGGACATAAGTTGCAGAATAAATAATAGATTACGTTATGGGTATCGCAGGTGAGGTTAGGTGGCTGTATCCTGATATTGGTGTTGGGTACGTAAAATGTATTAGCTATTACTAAATGTTTGCAAACTAAGCAACGAGGTTTGTTACATTTGTAATTTCCTGTTTGGTTTCTATTGTTTAGATATTTGGTAGAGGTGAGGATAGCTGATAAGTTAGGTGATTGTTTCATTGCATTTATGGGTGGTTTATCGAAAATGTCTTTGATCTTGTTGTCTAATTGGAGGTTCTTGTAATCATTTTTTAAATTGTGAATAAGTGTGTGGGAATATTGATTGTGGTTAAAAACCATGGGAATCCGATTGTTGTTTTTATTTTTCTTGTATGTGAGAAGTGTGTTACGATTTATCAGGATAGTTTTATTTAGTGCTTCTTTTATTATTTTTATTGGGTATTTGCATTTTAGGAATTGTTTTGTTAAGTTATTAATATTGTATAGAAAATCTAAATGGTCTGAGCATATGCGTTTGGTTCTAAGAAATGAGCTGTATACAATAGATTTTTTTTTTTTTTAAAGGGATGACAGCTGTTAAAGTGCAGGAATTTATGTTGGTTTGTGGGTTTGTTGTATAGACTGGTAGAAAGTGTATGTTTGTTTAATTTTATCATAACGTCTAAGAAAGGGATGGATGTGTATGGGTGCTCCATGGTAAATTTAATTGTATCGTGGAAATTGTTGCAGAAAGTGAAAAAGGTTTTAATTTTTCTGATCCATGAGTCCATAATAAGAAAATGTCATCAATATATCTAAAAGTAATGTGATGGTTTATATTCCGAATTGTCTAGTATCTTCTTTTCTAGAATGTGCATAAAGATATTAGCATAACTAGGTGCCATTTTGTGCCCATTGCTGTGCCACTAATCTGTAAATAGTGTTTGTTGTTGTATTTAAAATTATTATGTGTTAAGATGAACTTTATTAATTGGCATATATCTGTAATTTGGTAGTTAGGTAATTTTTTTTTACTAAGGAACTCATAGCAAGCTGATACTCCTTCAACATGTGGAATGTTCGTGTAAAGGGACGAAACATCCATCGTTACTAGGATTGTATCATGGTGGACTAAGTTAATGTTTTGTAATTTGCTGAGAAAGTCAGTAGTGTCTCTAATATAACTAGGTATGTCAAGCAATAAAGGTTTTAGGATATTGTCTATGTACCCAGATATAAGTTCTGTGAGGGTGCCAATGCCTGATATTATGGGTCTACCAGGTGGCATGATTTTAAGGGTTTTTGAAATTTCATAGATGTTCTCTTCATTATTTGATTGTGTAATTTGATGTGGGTCGGATGAAAAAGTGTTAGGGTGTTTTTCTGAAATGATTTTGGGGAGTTTATGTAGTTTTGGGATAGTGTAGAATGTTGCTGTTTTAGGGTTCTCAGGAATAAGAGATTTTGTGGTATTTTTTATGTTGTAGTTCAGGTTCTGAGTGAGAAGTGATAATTCTGTTTTGAATGTGCTAGTTGGGTCTAGAGGTAAGGGTACATAGAATCTGTTATTTTGAAGTTGTGATTCTGCTTCTTTAATGTAGTGGTTAGTGTCTAAGATGGTTATAGCTCCGCCCTATTAATATTTATATTAATATTTATATTAAGAAAGTATACGTGGCTTCTCATTATGCTATATATATATATATATATATATATATATATATATTATTCATGTGTGAATATGTGAACGTGTTTGTATTTACGCAGTGTTGCTGAAAAGTTCTCGGCCCAATCAAATTTTGTTGGATTTTAGAAAGGTTTTCGAGGCGGGATTTTTTCAGTTCAAGCTTGTATATGCCCGTATGTGTATGCGTTCATATATGTAATCGAGTGTATGTTTACGTTTCTATATATCGGATGCTTTTCATGTATATGTGTGTATATATGTATGAATGTGAGTGCTTGTGCGCATGTGACTATGTGTGTAAATATGCGTGAGTGTAGGTGTGTGTCACTGTGTGTGAGTGAGTGTATGGATGTGAGAGCATTTTATAAAATATCTGTTTGGGCAGTGACTTGGTTATCGGTGCAGAAAGGGAAATCGACGAGCCGAGTTCAAATTCCGGTTTAACCTGTTGCGTTCACTTTCGCATTAAAGCTCTTCGGAAAGACATTAGTACGTCTATTCTCCCCACAAACGCTGCAACGAGTAAAATTGTAGGGTAGACTGTGCTCTCTAGTCTTGGATGGTAAACATTCGAGGGGAATGACTATTTGGAATTCAAAACCGTAGTGAAGACAACGGGAAACCTTTTGTATAATTCCCAAAAGCCTTGGCAATTCCCAGATATTAAAGAAACGGAGTCTGTGGAGAGCTACGTTCACCTCCGTCCTGAAAGGACAGACCATTTTTTTTTAAAAAATTACTTATATTTTACAAGAATCACTAGATTTTATGCGAATTAAATTCACCATAAGCACATTTCACAACCCAAATTAAACTATTGCTTGCTTCTTCTATTGATTTTAGGCTCACGGCCACATCACGTTAACTCATCGGTTCCCGTACGATCAACGTAGTTAAGCAACATCGGACCTTGTCAGTACCTAGATAGGTGACCGCTTGGGAATACCAAGTGCTGTAAACTTAGATATACGGGTAGGGTAATCGATAATGGTTCGGAATTTTTAATGTGAAAGCCGAGTTCTAATTCCTGTTTTGTTTGTTTTGTTATTTCTGCGCATATAACCTTGGGAAAAGTATGAATCCATCTCTTATCCCCCCAGCTATGTGATACTTAATAATAATTGTAGCATTAAGCCACTATTATTAAAAAAAGAAAAGAAAAAAAATATCTTCTGGCTTTAAATAACCTGTAAAGTGTTGATAAGCCGGAGAAAACGAATCAATGAAAATCAATATATTGATTTTATTTTTGTTTTTCAGCATGAAGGATTTTACAAGTATTTAAAATCACGCTGAAACCTCAGATAAACAATCCCCACTTTCCTTTCTGAATTCTCTGAATTTAGCAACACCTGATGAACAACTATAAAAACACCAAGCAAAATTGCTACTTTTTCAGCCAGCAATAAGGCCAAGTAATTAAAAACGGATGGATATAATAAAGAAAAAAACTGACAGAGATATATTGATATTGATTGGGTGGGAGACTAGAGAGAAAGAGAGAGAGAGAGAGAGAGAGAGAGAGAGAAGTAGGGAGAGAGGAAATAGAGAAAAAGAGAAAATAGAGAGAGAGAGAGAGAAGTAGGAAGAGAGGAAATAGAGAAAAAGAGAGAGAAAAGAAAGAGAACAGAGAAGGAAGCACTGAAAGAAATTCTCTTAACAATGGCTCGTTATTGTCCCACAGGAGTTTGCAAATGTCACACGCCGTTTTTTTTCCCGATCTCCACCAAACATCGTAAAACGGGATTAAATAATTCACTGACACATGACACGCACACATACGCAGTAACTTATACTTACTAATTTGGAATGCATAATGCGCATAAAAGAACACTTGTAACGATATATATATATATATATATATATATATATATATATATATTTATCTCTCTCTATATATCTATCTATCTATATATATATATATATATATATATATATATATATATATATATATATATATATATATATATAACGGTAGACCGCAGTTTTTTATAATAAATCTAATATCTTTAAAATTATAACAGGTTGAAACTAACTAACTAAAAATTTAAGTCAAGCTGGGTCACCGATAAGAAGTGGGTATGATGTTGAATGACCCGAGACCCCCGAATGAACCTCGGCTAGAAACATCTATGATGATGTGTACTAAAGCATCCGATGTAATTTACGAAATTAGTCGTTTAAAATTAAAAGAAAAATGTTGAAAGCAAATTCCAGTTATTGAAGTTTATGTGATTTGCATAATAACTTCAGACGGACTGTATATGCATATAAGTGGGCGTGTGAGTGCTTGCTTAATGGGTATTCATATATGTGTATGGGTGATTATATGCTTGTAAAAAAATAAAAATAAAAGAGCCCAAGATGAAATGCATTTTACATAGATAAAGCCCTTCGTAAGTTGTGAGCTGTTCTTTTGCGAGTACAATCCTTTGCATTCATTTAAGGCATTGGATACCAGGGATTCCTTCAATGAGTCTATCAGAACCTTTTCCAATCAAACCCTGGGACCTTAACCACAACTGGAATTACTGATGTCTTTAATTTTATTATTATTATGAATTTTTTAAATTTCTTTCATCAGCCTATATCTACATTCTGTAAGAAGCATATGTGGACAATTTTTCTCTCTTTCTCAATCTCCTTCTCTCTCCACCTCTTTCTCTCTCTCTCTCTCTCTCTCTCTCTCTATATATATATATATATATATATATATATATATATATATATACTTCTTACGGCTGACAGATGACAAATAGTTTACACATACGTGAAATAGAACTTGGATGGTGTTTAAATGTTTTTCAGATCTTACCTCAGTTTTGGTCGAAACATAGCAGAAGTTAAACAAATCGTCATATATATATATATATATATATATATATATATATATATATATATATATATTCTATCTATCTATCTATCTCTCTCTCTCTCTCTCTATATATATATATATATATATATATATATATATATATAATATTCTATCTATCTATCTATCTATCTATCTATCTATCTATCTAATATCTCTCTCTCTCTCTCTCTCTCTCTATATATATATATATATATATATATATATATATATATATATATTATTTCAAACGTTATTTTATTCGATACCCGTATTTGAGTAGAAAACCCACAATTTTATTAAAGTGTTTATTTTGTTTACCGGCTCTGCGCATTCGAGAAATTTGTAATTCCGCCAGGATTCGTATCTGCGTCCTCCCTCGTAAGAGGAACCAGCGTCACACCCGGCTACGAAGAACCTCAGATCCAAGCAAAGTTCTATTTACCTTAACGGGGCGATGTTGCTTTAAGGCTTTAAGTGTTTTATATATGCTGATGGCACAACTATTTACTCCTGTCTTAATAATAGTAAGCCTGATCCGTTCGATAAGGTCAAATTGTAAACTGATCTCAAAAATGATCTACAATTTGTTGTTAAATGGGATAAGGAGTGGCTTGTTAATTTTAACGCATCAAAAACGAAACAGATCTCTTTTAATCATCTGAGAGAATCCTTTTTAACTTCGATCAGCCTGGCTAATACTAATCTCCAGGCGAGTGACTCATTGCGTTTTCTCGGACTAACGTTTTCATCTGACATGAAGTTGAAAGTGAATATTGAATCAATTGCTAAATCTGAAGTTAAAAGACTTGGTCCACTATTTTGTGATAGAAAATTTTCCCGCCAGAATCCATCTTACATATTTATGAGTCTACCATTAGTTTATACTTTGAATATTGCTGCCACATCTGGTCATGTACTCCTGCTATATATTTAGAGATTTATGATAAAATACGAAGAAGAATATGCAATGTTATTGGTCCTGACCTGACATCTACGCTTTGGTCCCTTTCCCACCGTTATAACATAATTTCCCTGTACCTTTTCTATAAATACTTTCATGGTAATTGTTTTGTAATTACTCATTGGGGCTAGTTTTTAGAATTGTTGTTTTATCGCCCCCCCCCAGACAATGAATTGTAAATATGGGGACTAGTTAGTATTTTCATAGAGACAAAGAGGTATTATGGTGATTGTAGTAAGAAAGGTACGTATGAATGTGTTGTTTTGGTGTAAGGAATATTGTTCGTGCGATTGGGTTAGTGTTTGCGGCTAGCTAAGTTATAGTTAAGACAGAAGAAGACCGTCCTTTCCCCAATCCCCCCTACGGCCTTGTGCCAAATTTCTGTATTTTAACAGAATAAATATCACTTTCCTATATGCTACCTAGATTTTATGAATTTAAGAGCAGTACTGGATTGGTCTCACCATTTACTGTGTAATTGGCTAGATGGAATCGTAAGTTTTATGCTAACAGTATCTTTTTTCATCCTCCTCGATTGTGGAACTCTCTTCAGGCTTATTGCTTTCCAGTCAACTTTGAATTTCAAAAATTTAAAAGCAATGTCAATCGTTATCTTATGTCTTCTTAATTCTTGTTCTTTTATTGACCTCTCTCTTAATAGTAGTTTTTCTTATATAACATCTTACGTCCTAGCTACTTTATTACCTGCTTGGGGTGAAATGATAAAAAATAGAAACTTGCTTTGCTGTGAGGCTATTCGTAGCCGAGTCGTCTAAAGTATGCCGGATCAGATATTGGTTTCTCCCAGGAAGCGTCGAATTAAACACTTTAAAAAAAAATGCGCCGTTCTTGTCAAATACGGGTATCCAGTAAAAATAGTTTTAATTAATGAAAATATATCGGAAAATAGATGATTTATTTAAAAATATATTTCAAAGAAGGATCTATAATATAATCGATCATGACCAGGCAACTTGACTTCAGTCATTTTCTCACCGACATGACATGGCTTCCCTGTTTTCCGCAATATATATAAAAGTGAATATTGAAGTCAAGACAATCGACAGTCTGTTTCATGCTGGACGCAATCGTCAGACAATTATATATCGCGTGGTATAACGTCATAGAACCGCAGCTTGAACTTAAGAATTGCGTATGATATTCCGCGACCGTTATTGTTGCAAAGCAATCTTCTATGTCAAATTAACAAAGTATTATATTCGATGGTGAATATCTTTGTTAAAACGTCTGTATAACCACTCTAAAGATGGTTCATGTGAGCCGAGAACTTTGATCAAGGAGCAAATTAAAAAAATATCGGAATGTTGGACAATTTTTGTCTTTATTTTCACCCGAAATTAAAGCAAACATACGAATCTTAGAGTGGCTCATGATACAGACATAATAGACATTCCTTTTCTGTTATATTTAACAATGTATGTTGGAAATATATATATATATATATATATATATATATATATATATATATATATATATATATATATATATATATATATATATATAGTAGAAGTTATATTATCCAGCTTTGCATGGACGAGGTTTCTTTCTTTCATACCATTGTACTTAGTTGTCTTTTTTTTTTTTTTGTATGTCGTTAAATGATATTTGCGAAAATGTGATTAAATTATTAAAGCAGTTCAAGCGGGTGAGACATTTTTCGTGTTTGATTATATATACTGAAGATGGGCTTCGTAATGATATGGGGATACGGAATAGCATAATTATCTAATATCACAATTTGGTAAGGGGAGCCATAACAATATTCACACCACTGTTTAGTCTGGTTACTTCTCTCGACCGGCAGAAGTGATTATCCTGCTTTTTATTCACACAACAATATGGCAGACACAGTACTTCCGTGTCAGAACAATGGCTGAAATGCTGCTTCCGTTTCCCAAGTTCCCGGTTACAAAACAAATCAAATCGAGCAACTTTCACAAAATGTTTAAAAATTAAGTATTTTTTTTTTTAATGAACGTCTACATTTGTTAGATTTTTAAAATTTACTGTTGAAAATGTCCTTCGGGCCGTGAACAATCATGGCTCACCGTAACGTTCTATCCTTTGTAGTTGTAAGCAATGTTTGTTCCTTAACTATCTACCCTAATCTCTGTCCTGCCTC